GCTGACAAGCAACCGATGGTTGAAAAAAAAAAAAAGGATTCTCTTCCGGACCTAATATTTACTCCTCCCTTTAATATGTTTATTTTGTCTGCGAGAAGTGTAATATACTAATATTACTCTTCCCTTTAACTAATTTTTCTCGATATGAAATTTATTAAAGGATATGTCGAAATTTGGTTAACATTACATATGCATAAGCATAAAAGTACAAGTGTGCAGCAAAAATCACCCTTCACATTTCTAACAAAACCAGAAAAACCCTATATATATTTCATCACTAAGCAACTGTGTGCATTATTTATTCATTACTTTGGGCGACATGCCTTCTCGACTGGCCCAGCTTGTCTTGCATACTGCAAAATAAATATGAAGATGACCAAATGTTAGTTGTTTTTTCACTACTAAACACACACACACACACACACACACACACACACACACTTACACTTGTGTGTGAGAGAATATTTTGATAAAAGAGATAAAAGCTTAAAAGGGGACCTGAAAATAAGTTTCCAGTTTCTTTTTCAGAGCAGCATATTCCTTCTTAATTTGTTGGAAAGTTTTCTTGCATCTGCACAAAGGGGAAATATTAAATATTATATATTAAAAAAAATTAGTGAATCTTGGTGTAAATTGATAGTTATGATTATTAAACATTATAGCATATAAATATAGCAGGATTAAGACAAATTAATTACCCTTCACCATCTCCAGTTGTACAGTGTTCTCTGAACTGCGTGGACTCAGTTTTAACCTTTCGGGCTCCAATGCTGCAACAACTTAAGTATCATTTGATTAAAATAATGATATTATAATCAAAGCCTAAACATATTTTAATCCATGTATTAATCACATTTTTAATTTACTCATTTTTCCTTAATAAATACCTTGAGCTGCTGCCCTTGAACTGGTGCATAAGTCCATCCAGCTTAGCAAAGTCAACAGGATTTTTCTCCCTTTATAAAAAAATAAACATACTTTAATTTAATTTTGATATAGATGTGCAAATAAAAAAAATATGTGTATATGTGCAAAATATTAAGAAAGGAAGTTGCTAGTAATCATATTAATGAAGTGGTTTTGTTGAATTAAGATGAACTCACAAGGCTTGTTCTATATTTTTGATTAGTCGAGCTGAATCCCGGTAGTATAGTGTAACGATTTCTTCTACGAAATTGGGATTCGCGTCGTCTTGAAGCTCTTCTAGCTGATGAAATTGTTCATCCAAATATCCCTGCACAAGATTTAATTGCGAAAATGCAACTGAGCAAGTCCTATCCAAGTAAATTAACTAACTGTAAGGCTCTGCTTGCAAAAGCAAATGGATAGTTGTTTTTCTTCCTTCTGGTTTCCTTTTATTTTGTTTATGTGAAAATCATTTAGCTCAATAGGCTCCAATTTGAACATTTATACATGTATACATGCATGTATTATTTTACAATTACGAAGGAGTCTTGTGAATATGGCGTTTTTGCCCCCCTTAAACAAAGTAATTACAATTATACCTGATCAAAAAGCAATTGCCTCATGTTAGCTAGTTGTCTCTGCATTTTGATTTTTTTTTTTTTTATTTATTTATTTAGAAATGCTTTGAGGATTTGTGAGTAGTAAAATGGGTATTTATAGTTGGCAAGTGCACAAGGTTTGGTCCCCTTTGGCATTGCACACACACATAGAGAGATAAAACAAAT